GGGAAAAAAGTAATTTAAAGCAGTTTAACATAAGGCAGCAACATAACAAAACGTGAAAAAAAATGAATACTTTCGCAAGGCACTGTAGTAGTTAAATACTCTTAACAAGGTGGGCTATGTAATAATATAATATAAAATATAATATAATGTTATGTAATAATATAATATAAAATATAATATAATGTTATGTAATAATATAATATAAAATATAATATAATGTTATGTAATAATATAATATAAAATATAATATAATGTTATGTAATAATATAATATAAAATATAATATAATGTTATGTAATAATATAATATAAAATATAATATAATGTTATGTAATAATATAATATAAAATATAATGTAATGTAATCTAGTCAGGTAAAATAATATAATATAATGGTTAAATTCTATTTAAACCACATTCCTCCCTCTCTGTATTTTAGGTTGTTCATCTCACAAGCTGGTGTCCCGTGAGCAGCACAGGAGCTGGTGCACGCTGGGATTTATTCGCAGTATAGCTCTCATGCCCCAGATGTGCAGTACCTTGAGCTCCTATGCTTGGATCAGTCTGCTTATACGCATCGTAGAGGGCCATCAGTCCTTCACCGCAGTCACGCTACAGAGACAGGTGCCAGCATTGCATCCTGGTTTCATTCAACACTTACTATGCGTTCTGACTGGATTTACCAAGAGGATGAGAGCTTTCCTTGTCTCATTACTGTATAATTGTCATTCTAAAACCCTCATGAGTACCACAGGGTTAAAATGAGTGCATAAGTGCGGTACACATTAGTGCTGTTGACAGGATCCATTTATTGTCACTTAATCCATCTTTCCTCACTCCCTGGCAGATTCTTGCCCTGCGGCTTCTACAGGCTGTATTGCCATCCTGGGATAAGACAGAGCGCTCTCAGGATATGAAGTTTCTGGTGGAGAATCTCTTTGGGTTCCTTGGCAGCTTGCTCAGCACTTGTTCCTCAGATCTGCCCCTCCTCAGGGGTACTGTACATTTATTAACTCTTTTCTCACTATGTGCTCTTTGAGGTAGTGCAAATGATGATATCAGGGTGTCATTTTAACATCATGTTTTGTGCTTTACAGAAGGTTCGATACGTAGGAGAAAATCACGCCCTCAAGCCTCTCTGACAGCCACTCACAGCAGTACTCTAGCAGAGGAAATAGTGGCCGTACTGCGTACACTTCACTCCCTTGGCCAATGGAATAGCCTTATTAATGAATATATTAACTCCCAGCTCAGCGGTATCAGTGGTGTCATGGCAGGCAGACACACTGAAGCGGTACAAGTCAAATTTTGATGTTTTCATATTCATTAGCCAACTAATATTAGTGTTGTAAAATGATGGAAGTATTTTACTAAAGGTACCATATATTAGCTTGAGCCCTGGTGTTAGATGATATTGAATTTTTGTACTCTGTGTTTCTATCAGGCTGTGCTCGAAGACTACCTTCCCAATGCAGAAGCCCCCGCGGTGGGCAGTCTGATGGCAGTTTTGGCAGTCATTGGTGGGATCGATGACCGTCTGCGTCTGGGAGGACCTGTGGTTCATGAGGAATATGGGGAGGGCACTGTGACTCGCATTACACCTAAAGGACGAATCACTGTTCAGTTCCATGAGATGAGAAACTGCAAAGTCTGTCTGCTCAGTCAGCTCAAACCGGTACATATGCACCAACACACACTGTTACTTCCCAGGTTGAGCACCTTACATTGTGGGATGTAGTATTCTGAACAGTGTTCTCTGTTGTATATTGTATGTATACTACTGTACAAAAGTTTGGGGTCAGTAAAAAAAAAAGGAAAGTAATTAATACTTTTATTCAGCAAGGATGCATTTCTATTAAAAAAAAAAGTGTTCTTTTGAACTTTCTTTTAAACAAAGCATCCTTAAATAGTAATATTTCAAAATATTACTGTTTTTACTGTATTTTTGATCAAATAAATGCAGCCTTGTTGAGCATAAGAGAACTTCAAAAACACTAAAGAAAACGGTTATGTATAATATAATGCACAATATGTATACAGTACTATATATTGCTGATATATTAAGAGTAGTAAGTTTTTACGAACATAGCCATTGTTTTTCTCTGTGGTTGATATTGTTGTTTATTTTCTGTCTGTCTTGATATCTTTGTAGCTTCATATGATTCCATTCAGTGTTCAGAACCTGCCCTTCACTGAGCCTATGCTGACGGTGTGGGCTCAGCTAGTCAACTTGGCGGGAAGCAAACTAGAGAAACAACGCATGAAGAAATCCCTCAGCAGAGGACTTCCGGGTACGCTATATGCAGCAATCACTAATCAAATGTCATTTTGATGATCTGATGGGAAAAGAAATAGACTGTTCATGCAGCTTCCCATGCAAAAACATCTGTTCCACACAAGCTAATCTGTGTATGATAATGAATATTCTGGTTTATGTGTTTGTCATTGCAGCTGATCAGGTGGATGTGCATTTGTTGCGGTGTCAGCAGCTCAGACTGTACATCCTGAAGGCAGCGCGTGCTCTGCTCTCCCACCAGGACAAACTCAGACAGATCCTTTCTCAGCCAGCCATCATAGATGTCAGCCCCAATCCTCCAGGTAAGACCAGAATGTCTCCCTTCATCTCACTTCGAGTTTCAAACGGCATGCATTTTCTGATGCCGTTTCACTCAGTTGTTCTTGTCTTCCTCTCTGTGCAATTGCTTCAGTGCTTTGGTGTCATAAGTGATCCAATTTTCTCACAGCTCACACACCAACCAGAAAATGCAGGAGTGATTATAACTGTTTACTGTTTGTAATGTACTGGGAATGACTGAATCCTGTTCAGTTGTATCACATCACTGCCCCCTGCTGGTCACGTGTAGATTATTATTTATTTTTTTTGGTCACTGACTTTTAAATATGGTGTCTTTTCTCTATGTTCCATATCTTTCTCACAATAACAACACTCTATTTTCTGTGGAAATGACAGTTTTGTAATGTGCTTCTGTAAGGATTTTGTGTGTTTGTGTTCAGAGGATCAGTGTGCGTCGTCTCCTGATGTGGGAGATTTTTCTCCAGAGGGTCTTCAGCCTCCCCTCATCCTCCTCCAGCAGCTGCTGTCAGCATCTACCCAACCATCCCCCATCAAAGCCATATTCCACCGCCAGGAGTTGGAGGTCATTTTATAACAAATATTATTTGTCTGTGGTAATCAACATTATGCCTCAGAGGCTATTGAACTTGCTTTGTATGTGATTGTGAACTTAAAGCCTTTCAATTACCAGCTCAGATGTTACATCACCCAGTTCTTCCATGTTTTTTCTCCCTGAATTTCAAATGACTTTGTGCCTGTATGTGTTTAGGCAGCAGCTCTGGCAGTGTGTCAGTATCTGGCAGTTGAATCCACACACCCATCCTCCCCCTTGTTTGAGGACAGCAGCTCCAGCGAGGCCACCACACCGGTCACTGTACAGCATATGCGCCCACCCAAGCAGAAGAAACACAAGACTTCACCTGTGCCACCTGCACCCATCGTCCTGCAGCTGATGGATATGGGCTTTCAAAGGAAAAACATTGAATTTGCCCTTAAATCACTGTCTGGAACCACAGGCACTTCTGGAGTGCCAGGTAATGCACCGCTAACTCAAGTTTTTGAAATGTTAAATTGAATTCGGTGTCTGTACTACATGCTCGGGTGCCCAAAGTTTCTGCCCTTAGGAGAAAATGCCATTGCTTATCATGATATTTTAGTAAAACCATGATCATTTGGGTACTATGATATAAGTTATACCTTTGTTTTTCAAGTACCTTGAAGGAAATACCATGTAATATTAATATTGTAATCATAAAGTATCTGTGTCATGCTACCGCCACAGTATTTTTTTTGCTAGCAACTTATTTCGTGATTGCTTGGGTTTCAGGCGTAGAGGCTTTAGTGGCCTGGTTGTTGGACCATCCAGATGTTCATATTACAGATCTGTCAGATGCAGATACTGTATCGGATGAATACTCTGATGAAGAGGTGCTGGAAGAGCTAGAGGAGCCTGAACCAGCCTTCCCTCTGGTGTGTATAATTACACATTCACACAATGATCTGTCACGCACCAGATATGAGGTGCAGATTCACTTGTAGTCATGAAATGCATAACAAACGCTCTTTCCCTTGCATGTCAGCCTCCTGGGGTTGTGGTAACGGAGAGTCAGACGTTTAAAAAGAGGTTCGATTTTCAGAGCAATGATGATTACGCAGTATATGTGAGAGAGAACATTCAGGTGAGGAGCTGCGCTTGTTAATTTACTGGTTTTGGGTGGTAATTGACGAGGTGAGCTGATCAGAGGCCTGTATGTGTTGCAGGTGGGCATGATGGTACGGTGCTGCAGGACGTATGAGGAAGTATATGAGGGAGATGTGGGGAAAGTAATCAAGCTGGACAGAGACGGCCTGCATGATCTGAATGTGCAGTGTGACTGGCAGCAGAAAGGAGGAACGTACTGGGTCCGTTACATCCACACTGAGCTGCTGGGTAAATCCTCTTTATGTTCTGCTCTTAAACACTTTATATGCACTTAAGACTTAATAGTTTGTTTTAAATAAATAAATGTAGCTCTTTATTTTCCAGGGTTTCCTCCCCAGAGTTCTCCGTCTCATATAAAGATTGGTGATAAAGTGCGAGTGAAGCCCTCGGTCACAACGCCAAAGTACAAGTGGGGATCTGTCACGCACAGGAGCGTGGGAGTAGTCAAAGGTAACACGATTATGTTTAAACAGTTGTTCTTTCACAGGTTTAAACAAATTGTTCTAAAATTAACTGCTTGCACTCACGATCAAAACCTATATGTTTTTCAATTTTGGTTGAACTATCCATTTTTGTTTTGCTATGTGTATCAAACCTGTAGGCTTTCTCTTCAAGTATAAATGAGAACTTGTAGTTGGGTTTCATCGTTCTGTGTAAATATGTAACATTTGTGTCCAGCATTCAGTGCCAATGGGAAAGATGTGATAGTGGACTTTCCTCAGCAGTCACACTGGACTGGGCTGCTGTCAGAGATGGAACTCGTTCCTAGCGTACATCCTGGTGTCAGGTACACATCTAGACAACAAATAAATAATTAAACAAATAAATAAACTAACTTATAATAGTTTCCCTCCTGTTCCTACATTTTTCTTAGGTGTGACGGATGTCAGATGTTCCCTATAAATGGCTCCAGGTTTAAGTGTCGGAGCTGTGATGACTTTGACTTTTGTGAGAGCTGCTTCAAGACCCGTAAACACAACCCTAGACATTCATTTGGACGAATAAATGAACCAGGTCTAGGAAAATTTCATGTGTAATTCAATAGCTACTTTGTCATTTAGCATTACAGCAATGTAACCTAACCATTTCCCTTTAGGTCAGTCACCCACCTTCAGTGGGCGTTCAGGAAAGCAGCTGAAGAGACATCACAACAGTCAGCGTGGCATGCTGATTGATGAGTGGTCCAGAGTGGTGAAGAACCTCAGCGTTTCATCCTCTGTTAACCAGGCGTCTCGGCTCATAGACTGTGGAGAGCAATGCTGGCAGTCCTCAGGCTCTCAGGGCAAGGTCAGTCTAATTATAGACATATACTGCCTTTCAAAAATTTGGGGTCAGTAAGATATTTTATCTTTATTTTATATTTTATGTTTATACTTTTACTTTACTCATGCTTTAAATTGATTTAAAAGTGACATGAATAATATTATAAAAATTGTTTCAAATAAATGTTTTTTTTAATTAGAGGATTCTGAAAAAAAAAATGTATTACCGTTTCCACAAACATATTAAGAAGCATAACTGTTTTCAACATTGATAGTAGGGGTGTAACGGTTCAAGTTTCTTACGGTTCGGTACATATTGTGGTTTTGGGGTCACGGTTTCTGTACGGTTCGGTATGGGGGGTAAGGGGGAGTATTAATGGTTTTAGAAATTTCCACAAGAATACTGTAATATTTGCTAACAAAAAAATAAAAATAAATGATAATTTAAAAGTTTGCCTTAAGTTTTTTTTAATAACTGGGGAAAAAGGTAATTATAGATAATAAATAGAAACAAAAGCACAAAATAAGTGTCAGCAGGTCAGAGGTGGAATTGTCCGCAGGAACTCATTCAGTCTTCTGAAGGGACTCACTGTTGTAATCTCATTACATTTAATGTTCTTAAATGGAATAAAACTCAGGGTAAATTTGATGTCTGACAACAAATATAGCATATATTAAAATACATATTTCAGTTAATATAATTGCGCTCCTTTCTGATGTGCTCCATCGTGCCATGCGCATTATGACTTTTAATATAATTTAAGACTCGATTGCTGATAAAAACAAATTGTTTGCGAAACAGAAACAAGCGCATTTATTTCAGTTCATTATATTTTCATAATGTCAAATCCATTGGAAATGAATGTAATAGAGTCTGATTGCCTAAAGCTTTTAATGATAGCAGTGAGGCTGATCACACAGGATGAAGCTCAAATTATAAATGAATCTAGAGATCCAAAAACGTAATATATTTGTTCATATAACAACATTAAACGACAGCTAAATTTAAGAGAGAATTCCACTAAATGCTACACGGAGATAAACAAACTCTTCTTCTGCTGCGCTTTGTTCCTGTAGTCGACAGTCGGCCGTGTGGATGCAGAAAGACGCACGGATGCAGACACGAGACAGCAAAGCCTGTGCTGTGCAATAGCAAAAGTTGTTACTCCAAATGTGTATTTGAAGCTTTGTTTTTTCGACAAAACATATCATCCATATCCTTTGTTAGAACTGCGATTAATCGCGGTACAAATACATATCGAACTGAGGATGGCGAACCGAATGGTTCGGTCTTTTATCGAGAACCGTCGCACCCCTAATTGATAGTAATAAGAAATGTTTCTTTTGCACCAAATCAGAATGATTTCTGAAGGATCATGGGGCACTAAAGACTAGTGTAATGGCTGCTGAAAATTCAGCTTTGCCATCACAGGAATAAATTAAATTTTTTAAAACATACTAAACAGAAAACAGTTATTTGAAATTGTAATAATTTTTCACTATTTTACTTTTTGATCAAATAAATGCAGCCTTGCTGAGCATATTTTTCCATTAAAAAAACTTAAACCGACCCCACGTTTTCAACAGTACTGTATATTTGGTTGTTGACATAGCAAAGATCAATTGATTGTGAGTTTAATTGATTGAAAAAAATAAAATAAAATCTATTCTGTGTTTTGTTCTACTTGTTTTCAATAGCACTGGATCAGGCTGGAGCTTTTCCCAGACATCCTGGTCCACAGACAGAAAATGATTGTGGATCCAGCTGACAGCAGCTACATGCCTTCACTGGTAGTGGTATCAGGTAAAGAACCATGAAGCCTTTCAGGTCATTAATAGTGAAGCCTATTATGGGTGACCTGATCAGCTGTGTTTATTCTCAAGGTGGAAGCACTCTCAACAATTTGACTGAGTTGAAGACCATCAACATCAATCCCACAGACACTGCTGTCTCTCTGCTCAGTGATTGCACAGAGGTTGGTTTGAATTTCCTCAAGTATTTGAGAGAATTTTCTTTTGGGCTGTTTCTTTAGGAATGTTGAGCATTGTTGTGTTTGTGTGTTCAGTATCACAGGTACATCGAGATTGCCATAAAACAGTGCCGGAGTTCAGGGATTGACTGTAAGATCCATGGCTTGAGCATTGTGGGGCGTGTCCGCGCCGAGGATGAAGATCTGGCTACTGTGCCTTTCTTGGCATCTGACAATGAGGAAGAGGAAGATGAGAAGACAGCGACTGGAAGGTGTGTGTTTTAGTGGGTTTGGTAATGCATAAACTGAAAAAGCATGAACTGGTACATTACTTAGTTTCTCTTTTCATCTCCCTTTGCAGTCTGACTCGAAAGAGGTTGTCGGGGCTGGAGTCGGCTGCCATCATCAGAACCAAAGTCTTTGTCTGGGGTCTCAACGATAAGGACCAACTTGGAGGACTTAAGGGGTCTAAGGTCAGTAATGTGTAAATACACATTCAGTTTTGTAATTTTTTTTTTAAATGTAATTTTATTTTAAAATTATTTATTTATAAAATTATATTTTCTACAGAGGTCTTGAATATTTGATAGCATAACTTTTATAGCTATAGCTTGTAATGACAAATCTTATTGTCTTGTTTTCTCTCTCAGATCAAAGTCCCATCATTCTCAGAGACCCTGTCTGCTCTGAATGTAGTGCAGGTGGCTGGAGGCTCTAAAAGTCTTTTTGCTGGTGAGTGGTTTTAAAAAAAACAACAACAAAAAAACAATAGAAGGCCTTTGTGCTGCTCAATGCCATGCGTTACATTGATTGCACCACCAGTTAAGTGGTCTATGAAATTTAAGTTCCAACCCTTGGTGTATGATGCAAGGTGGTAAAAATCACTGTAACACATGGCCTTGTGTATCATTTTGCCTTTGCTAAATTGCAGTAACAGCAATATGGTACATGACACCAGTATGTCTCTCTCTAGTTGGATTTTAAATATAAAATTACTGTTTTTTTAGCATTGGATGCATATTATTTTGCAATTAGATACCAGAGTATTACATTATACTCTTTTAACCAAATTAATGATTGATTCTTTGTCTTTACAGTAACGGCTGAAGGCAAAGTTTATGCTTGTGGAGAGGCCACTAACGGAAGACTTGGTTTAGGACTGTCCAGTGGAACCATCCCTATACCAAGACAGATATCTGCCCTCAGCAACTATGTGGTCAAGAAAGTTGCTGTACATTCAGGTATGAGCTTTTTCCATTTGAAGGTAAACGTCCTTTGTTGTCAGAACGTGTTGTTTAAAGTGAATTAACTTTGTGTTCAGGTGGAAGGCATGCCATGGCGTTGACTGTGGATGGAAAAGTATTCTCTTGGGGTGAAGGAGATGATGGCAAGCTTGGGCATTTCAGTCGAATGTAGGTTATTTATACCTCTTCCAATAGGAATGTAGAATATGTGGAAGGCTTCTAGAGGGATCTGATGAGAATTTTAAAAATTTTTTTTCCCCCACCAGGAACTGTGATAAGCCACGGCTAATTGAGGCATTGAAAACCAAGCGCATACGAGATATTGCCTGCGGCAGCTCTCACAGTGCCGCCTTCACCTCCAGTGGTGAACTGTACAGCTGGGGTCTGGGTGAATATGGCCGGCTGGGCCACGGGGACAACACCACTCAGCTCAGACCCAAACTGGTATTTGTTTTACTTAAATCCGTAAACTCAGACCTCTCTGTTTTGAACTGCAGGGTTACCATATTTTTACCATATTTGCAGAGGAATCCCTATACGGTGGAGGTGATGTGCAATGCACAACGGAAACAGATTTTTTTATCATATACGATTTTTAATATGTAATTGAAAATGAATTGTGACAGAATCTTTGAAGATTTAAGTCATGCCCAATTTATGTAGATCGTAGCAGCACTTGTATGCCTATTTCTACATAGAAGATATCTGTCAAGTAACAAGATGACTGGAAAGTGGACTGAGTTGCTTTAAAAAGACTTTGTTTATTCTCATTGTGCAGTTTAAATTCACTGGATGCTGTGTGTATCCCTCGTTGCACTAGATCAAACTTGTCTGTGTCTGGTTTGCAGGTCAAGGTGCTTCTAGGCCATCGTGTTGTCCAGGTGGCTTGCGGAAGTCGAGATGCGCAGACCCTTGCCCTCACAGATGAAGGCATAAACCAGATTTTTGTTTTGTGGATTTATTTGTGAAGTTAATTTGTTTTGTGTGTTGTAGTGATTTTTGTTTCTTTTGATTTAGTTTGGTTCTGTTTAGTTTCTTTTGGTTTTGTTTAGTTGTGTTTAGTTCAGTTTTATTTGGTTCTGTTTAGTTCCGTTTCACTTTTTCACCTGGTTTCGTTTAGTTCCGTTTAAGTTTGTTTACTTTGTTTATTTTAGTTTAGCTTTGTTTGGTTTCGTTTGGTTTGCCTCAGTTTAGTTGTGTTTAGTTGAGTTTGGCTCTGTCTAGTTTTGTTTATTTCTGTTTTAAGTTTGGTTTTGGATAGCTTAGTTTGGATTTGCTTTGTTTAGTTTAGTTTCGTTTAGTTTTGCTTAGATTCATTTATTTTGATTTCATTTATTTTTTGATCTGTTTGGTTTTGTTTGGTTTAGTTCCGTTTGTCTTGGTTTTGTTTAGTTCCGTTTAGGTTCATCTGGGTTTGTCTAGTTTAGTTTAGCTTCATTTGGTTTTGTTTGGTTTACTTCCATTTAGTAGCGTTTAGTTTCATTTAGTTCTGTGTAGTTTCATTTAGTTTGGTTTGGTTTTATTTGTTTTCATTTAGTTTGGTTTGTTCTCATTTAGTTTCATTTAGCTCTGTTTGGTTTAGTTTTGATCGCCTTGGCTTTGTTTGATTTCATTCAGTTTCATTTGGTTTCATTTCGTTTTAATTTTGTTTGGTTTCACTTAGCTTCATTTGGTTTTAGCGTTTCTTTAGTTCCGTTTTTTTGTTGTTGCAGACATATGAATTTATGTTTTTGTATGTTCTTTAGGACTGGTGTTCTCATGGGGAGATGGAGACTTTGGGAAGCTGGGCCGTGGCGGAAGTGAAGGCTGTAACATTCCTCAAAACATAGAGCGTCTAAATGGGCAGGGGGTGTGTCAGATCGAGTGTGGAGCTCAATTTTCCCTTGCCCTCACCAAATCTGGAGTTGTCTGGACCTGGTAAGAATATCGTAGGAGATTTTTTTTTTTTTTTTTTGCATGTTGCTGTAATAACTAGATTTTTACATTTACAGAGAACTGGAATGTCGCAATGCAAAAAATAGGTCTTCATTTACTTTAAGAGAAATAAAATGTACTATTTTTT